TCTGTCTGTCTGTCTGTCTGTCTGTCTGTCTGTTTTCCGCCCGTCCGTCAGTCTGTTTGTCTGTCTGTTGTCTGTCTGTCTGTGTAAATATATAGATCTTTCGATTTTTATTTTGTCTAGTGTGTATAATATCTTTCTACTTCTTCCTATGATTGCCACTGAGTATGTGTCTATTTGCTTATTATAAATAGCTGTCGTTGATGAAAGTCGCGTTGGTTTTTTTGAATTCAAGGAAACATACTCAGTGTGTCGGTTCGGAAGTGAAAGGGACATAATCGTGAAATGATTTAGGTGTGAAGGGCAGTGAAGGAGTTAACGTAGATTCCAACACATTTCTTCTTCTTCTTCTTCTTCTTCTTCTTCTTCTTCTTCTTCTTCTTCTTCTTCTTCTTCTTCTTCTTCTTCTTCTTCCTCGTCTTCTTCTTCTTCTTGTTCTTTTTCTTCTGCTGATGGTGCTGCTGCTGCTGCTGCTGCGGCTTTTTCTTGTTCTTCTTCTTCTTGTTCTTCTTCTTCTGTTCTTCTTCTTCTTCTTCTTCTTCTTCTTCTTCTTCTTCTTCTTCTTCTTCTTCTTCTTCTTCTTCTTCTTCTTCTTCTTCTTCTTCTTCTTCTTCTTCTTCTTCTTCTTCTTCTCCCACTGTTACAAAAACTACTACTTCTACATCTGCAGATACTGCCGCTGTCACCTTTCCTGCCTCTGCCGCTGTGATACTGAAACTATAAAGTAACTACTTTTTTTTTCTGCAGCTATTACTACCACAACTAATAAATCTGCTCGTATTTATCTAGGTTTCTGTGCAGAGTTGGATATATCTATTATATTAAACCTACCCCTCTGACTCGTGCGGTCGGGGGATGTAGAACACGCTTGCCAAGTGTCTGGGGGATTTGTATATAAAATGTCTGTCCTCCACACATGCACATTGGATTCCCTCTATCTACAAACTATGCTGCCCATTTTCCTTGACACGGAACACGCTGATGGTGACTATAACTGGAGTAAAGGACGGCCAACCCAAAATAGGGGCACCACTATATGCTAGGCTTAAGAGACATGTCTTATTGTAACCACTTACTACGAGCACTGTAACACAACACACCACGATCTTTTAGTGCGACAAACACATTGCGACGAAGATGAGTGGTGATCGATGACTCACTGTCACCTCTTCTACTGCCTTCCCAATATTCAAATCGACAGTCTTTCTAGACATGGACAAAACACCTCAGCGAACTATGTACCAGGTGTCCGCCATGGGTCGTGAAGTCGTGCAGAGACACCTCTGACGGTCTTCCTGTAAACGACTCCGTCCCTTAGACTCAAGGTAGGTGCACCACTTGGTAAAAATGATTCCAGACCTACCGTCTGATACCCCAGCCACTCACTGAAGCATCACTAACATCCCGTTAATCAGCTTCCGATACTTCCCCATTGCATTTCCACGTTGGTCAACACACACAAAGTTCCCCTGAACCTACTGTGCCCTTAAGGATACCCGTCAACCAACGTGCCATAGCTGCAACCGTACCGACCCCACTCACATGGCCGGCACAAGTCCATTCTAGTAAATCATACTGACATAATTCCCAAGTCCAACAGGATCCACCACAGTCATGCCGACAGAATAAAACATTGCAAAAACACAGTAAAAAGTAAAGTAAAGATCCCTTTACACGCCCTTAGGCGCATCAGGCATATGGGAAGAGCACCCATATTTTTACAGACCAATCGGCACTCAGTGGGTAATGTGGTGAGCATTACGCCAGCCGTCTTTACTTTCCAGGACAGCCCGTCCTGGTACCCATTTGAGGCTGGGTCGACCTGCGACGTCCCATACCACGATAAAAATCCACACAGCCCACGTAGGTTTCGATCGCGGTACGTTGGATTACGAGTCAGACTCGCAACGCCTTAGCCACGGACGCCGCTGCAAAAACACAGACTATGCATTTACTAGACTCGAACATACACGTCGACAGAGTTAAACCAACTGAAAGCTACTGACTCGCTCAAACTGCGGGTGCCTACAGCCTTTCAAACGGTTCGCCTAAGAACACCGAAAACATATATTCACTGAAGTTACGAAGCAGCAACGCAAATAATTATGAATGGGCGGTCACCACAACACGAGGAACTGTATTTAAAGTTCACAGCAGTATGAAGGTTGAGAACCACTGCTATAGCCGGCGAACAAAGAAGCATAGAAAACCTATTATATTTTACACATGTTTGCAGCATACACAATTGTCCCCTGTGCTTGTAAAATCTACGACGATTCATAAATTGATTCGTAAAACTGCAAAATGACCGAAGACAAGACACCTGTCACACATGAACAATAGGTTAGTTGCGTATCCTTTACAGGACGTTGTAGAACCAATCCCAACAGCGCCTGGCTGTTGTGTGATTTCTCTAGGCAAATTTACGTCCAGTAGTTTGCCATTGCTTCCTGGACGGTCGGCTTTCTTGATACCACTGTCGAAACCAACGCAAGGCGCATGACCCGCAGCCGGGATCGAACCCGGCATCCTGGCATTACGAAGCGTTCGCATCGACTCAGCCACAGGGCCGACACATAAACAGTACTGCATTCTAATCTTCTGTTAAATATCAGATTACACTTTTGAATTTATTAGCCGCATTATTGTGTGCCCCTGAGATCCTCCAGTTATGGGATCCCATTACAATCGATAAATTTAAACATATTCAGTAAGTGGATATTTACATTGGCGGCTGATACACTTCAAACATTGGGCAAATATGGGAACAGAGATAAGAAATGCACACACAAATCATACTTAAAAACGAATAGATTTATCATTTTATTATCGATTATATTATAAATCGAAGGCTCAGCGTTGCTCTTTTGGGAGTTTTTGGTCTGGATAAGGGATTTCAGATCAGGACAAGGCAATGGTCTATCACCTGACTCTTCTTGAGTAAAGGTAATATTACTTCTATGTTATGTTGGGCAGTGGCGAGGGAGGGGGAAAAGGTGGGGGGGGGGGGGGGGTTACCTCGGTGTCGTCACCGGAAAAAAAGGGGGGGGGGTGATAAAATGGAGAAACATAATAGCTTTTAACATATGAATGTGTATGAGCAGTGTGTATATGTGTGTGTATGTGTGTGGGTGTCGACAGGGAATTTTCAGCACCGTGATCGGGTACCAGCTGACCTTGCCATGCCAATGAAATTGACCACCATTGAAAATTCTCTGGGAGGTAAAGATGGCTGGGAGGATGTTGACCACATCACCCATCCAGTGTTGACTGGTCTAACCAGTATGAGCTTAGCTTCGTATCTTCGATAAACCACACAGGGCCGTTTACTCTACTTTATATATATATATTATTACAATCGACGCCACTACACATAGGGAATTCTCACGCGTGTTTAGTTTTTGAGTGTGCAACATTCATTCAAGTTACCTCTGCTGCCGGATTATGAAGTTGGTTACACAATCTCTTATCTTGACCTCGAAGAAGACATGGACGTGATTTGCCCGACTTTACGTACAGGTAACATAGTCGGGTTAGCGTCAGATGTAGTCATTATTCACCAATCTATTCCGTACAGCGTTGATTATATCAGCACTGTCCATATTTGCTCCACCTTGTGTTAGCGCTCTATTTACAGTCTAATCTGCTCGTTCGTTGCCGTTTACACCTGTGCCCTGATTCAACCGAGATATTATTACGTTGCTTGTACTGTTCCTTTCTATGTAAGTAAGTAAAGATTCCTTTTCACGCCTTGAGGCGCATCGGGCATATGAGAAGAGCACCCATATTTTTACTTACCAATTGGCACTAGGTGGGTATTGGGGTCAGCATTACACTGACCGTCTTTACTTCCCCAGGACGAGTTGCGACGCCCCATACCCTGATACATTTTCACGCAGTTGCTTTCTATGTTGTCTTCAAAACTTACCCATCTTTATTTGCCACCCTTTATTTCTTTTGCCAAGTGTTTTCATAAATACAGTTTTTCAATTTTACTGCTAGTTCGATATCCTTTCCTTCTTCTTGCCCTCCTCTTCGTGCAATTGTTCTTGCTTCCCTCTTCATCATCATCATCATCTTCTTCTTCTTCTTCTTCTTCTTCTTCTTCTTCTTCTTCTTCTTCTTCTTCTTCTTCTTCTTCTACTACTTTTTCTTCTTCTTCTTCTTCTTCTTCTTCTTCTTCTTCTTCTTCTTCTTCTTCTTCTTCTTCTTCTTCTTCTTCTTCTTCTTCTTCTTCTTCTTCTTCTTCTTCTTCTTCTTCTTCTTCTTCTTCTTCTTCTTTATCTGCTGGTGATACTGCTGCCCCTTCATGTAACAGTGAAGAGTGGAGCAAAGGTTTTCAACAAATTCACTCCTGTGCTTTGCTATCGCTCAACCCCATCTCCTCCTTATTCTTTTTTTTTTTTACTCTTCTAGTTCCATTCTAGATTTTGTTTATGGTCTGCCTTTATATATATATATATATATATATATATATATATTTTTTTTTTTTTCTAGTTACATCAGGGCTTCAATGCAAAAAGTACTAGATAAATTGTCAACGTTTTTTTAACGCATTTCCTGTCCTATAACACATTAAAAACGAAGAAATAAAAAGAAGACTGTGCCTGGTACCTACATTCGATTTTTTAAATTAAAACACGTGCGAGATGGCCCTGGAAACAACAGCCACATAAAACGACACTAAACAAATTAACTGGACACAGAGCAAGGGAAAGCCCGCCCAGAAGATGAAACGGTAGTATTAGAAAGTCTTAAAGAAATGAAGACCAAGTTATACAATGCATGGAAAAGACACACAGAAAAGCCTCTTACCTTTTCTTCAACACTTCGATGAAGTAACTATAGGAAAAGACAAAGAAGTAGAAGCAGAAGTGTTATATTCAACGCTAGCAACCTTTTTGTAACCAGAATACGTATATTTTCTTCTTCTTCACAAAGCTCTGTGTCAGTGATTATTATATTATTACTCTCTACTATGGGCAGATACCATTTTAGAGGAA